TTTAAAAATAAAATGAAATATTTGATGGCTGAAACCAAAAATTAAAACAATGACTCATCGATGACATTTTCAGTGTACGTAGATGTTACACATGTGACAACTCCAACATAAAAAGGGAAGGAAGAGGGAACTCAACAGTGGTTTTGCATTCCCTTTGAAGTAGTAAAATATTAATTCCAAGTAGACCACGAAAACTTCAGTGTGTACATTGTGATCTCTAGAGCTGCCATTAAAGAGAGATTGTAGCCCTGGCCGGTGTGTTTTGGTGGATTGAGTGCTGGCCTGAGAACCAAAAGATCACGGGTTTGATTCCCGGTCAGAGCATGTGCCTGGGTTGCAGGCCAGATCCCCACTAGGGGGTGTGCAAGAGGCAACTGATCGATGTTTCTCTCACACATTGATGTTTCTCTCTTTCTCCCTCTCTTCCCATCTCTCTAAAATAAATAAATAAAATATTTAAAATAAAATTTCAGCTTGAAGGAACATTGCCATCAGCTGGCCTGAGTTCACTTATAAGCAGGGTATCCTGCATGGTTTGCTTAATCGCTCTGAAATTCAGGCTCTTCACCTGCAAAAGGGACAGTGGAACCTAAGAAAGAAGGCTTAGGAATGACTTGATAGGCTCAAGCCCAAAGGACACCCCACAGAGTGCCCAGCACCCAGCAAGCCCTGGATGCACTCAAGGTATTTTTGCCACCGTGATTTCTCCACTCACCGCATTCATTTGAGCAGAGCCCCAGACAAGTTACTCAACTTCTGCACATAACGCATACCTGGAAGTGTGTTTGAAGTTGATTTCGCAAAACGCAAACAAGAAATTTCTGTGTTGTCAAAGACACTCTATTTACTGAGGACTGCATAAATTATGAAATCCCAGATTCCTTATTACCAGTTAAGTGTCATTGCCAAAGATGTATTTCCAGGGTTTCACACATGCTGTTTAAAAAAACAATTGGATTGCCCTGACTGGTGGCTCAGCTGGTTGGAGCATCGTTCTATACACCAAAAGGTTGTGGGTTTGTTCCTGGTCTGGGGACATGCCTAGGCTGTGGGTTCAATCCCTGGTCAGGGCGCATATGGGAGGCAACCAATTGCTATTTTTCTCTCACATCCATATCTCTCTCTGTCTCTCTTCCTCTCTCTCTAAAATCGATCTTAAAAGATTGAATTTATCTTACTGTGCATATTTTGGTTCCAGTTACAGAAGTGATGGATTTTGTTTGTTGCCAAAACACAATTCAATTTCTAGAGAAATATGCAATGTGGCAAGTAAAGGTGGTATGAAAGTAAAGGAGACGCTCATACAGAAATGCCCACAGATGGTTTTTGTGTGGCCAGGCAGGGACGGTGCACCCAGCATCAGCAAGGCCCTGGATGTCCAAGTATCAGAATACAGGAAATGAAAGAAACGGTTAATTCAGCATGTTTAATACTTCAGTAGGCCTTGCTAAGTTGCCCTCTCCAAAGATTCTAACAAGGGATGCCTTTCCCAACAGTTTCGAGATTTCTCATTTCCCCATGTCTCCAATTCTGGGCATTTCCAAATGTCTTCATTTAGTTAAACTGAGGGGAAATTTGACTAGATTGTAAAAAGCACACACATGCTTCAATTGTGCCCACTTCCTCTAATTAAACATATGGTCACCAGCTTAAACCTCCAAGGGCCCAGCTGAGATTTGCTGCTTTTGGCACAAACTTCACTTCCCTCCACTCTCCCGTCTTCTCACTAAGCCCCAGCCACACTGACCTTCCACTTCCTGCAATGGACCAAGCCCTCTCCCACCTCAGGACCTTTGTGCACGCTGCTCCCTCTGCCCTGAACCTCCTCCCCTGGGTAACTCCTATTCACCCCATGGGCAGATTCTTGCAATCAGAAAAACAAAACCACACCCGGGAAAAAAAAAACAAACAAAAAAACCCCTGTTTTCCAATTTATAATAATACTACCAGCTTCATAGGGTTGCTATGAGGATCAAATGAGATACATAGTTTGAAACACTTGGCACAGTGTTTCAGAAAGTGTTAGGATTCAGTTCAAGAGGCACCTCCCCAGTGAAGCTCTCCCTGCCCACCCTTCCCAGGTCAGCTTTCCATATGTTATCCTTTCCTGTGGTTCTCTCCATTGGGATGGGGGAGGGGTAATACACCATGAGTATCATTAAATAATTGTCTGCAATATCATCTGCTTCATTAAGACCATGACTCTGGAAGGGCAGAAATGCCGCCCAGCACCATGTCTGCTCCATCATAAGCACCTGATGCATGTCTGTCAGGTTAATGAATGGATCAAATGAGCTCCAATTTGACTCAAGTATACTAAATTGTCAGAGGCTACACTTCTTATCACTGTTATCAGCACATGCACTTTCTCCCTTTTCACGCCTTTTTATAACGACAAAGGGTAAAATGCAGTAATGCTCACACTACTGCACAAGTCAGCCACATCTAGCCTGGCCAGGAGGGCCCCAAAAATCTTCAACAGAACTGTAGGTGGGTAGGCAGCGCCCCCATGTGATCACGGAGAATGTTTGCTTTTCTGTTAATGTACAATGCTAGCACTCAATACTCTGGTTAGATATTCTGTTTGTCCTTCCACATCAACTCTCCCCCTCCCTCCCCCGACTCTGTGCCCTGAGAGGGTGACAGCATGGCCGCCTCCCTGCCTTCCTTGCCTTCTGATACAGCTACTGAGAGGCTCCAGAGGGAGATGGGAGCGTGGGAGGAGAAAGAGCAGGGTCTTTATTCTCTCTCCCGCCCCTGATTATGGGCTGGATCTTCAATTTCAAATTCAGAAGGAAGCAGAAGGGATACAATGTGACTTCCTAGGCTAGATCATAAGAAGATACAACTTCCACCTGGCTTTCCTTCTCTTGGATCAGTTGCTCTGGGGAAGCCTGCTCCCAAGATGGGAGTATACTCAGGCGTCTCAAGCAGGGAGAAATTGAGGCATTCCACCAGCCAGCACCCACCTGCCAGCCGTGTGAGTGAGCCACCTGGGAAGCAGATCATCCAGCCCCCATCAGACCCTCAGGTGACTGCCACCTCCACAGATATCTTGATTGCAACCCTGTAAGAGAGCCTGAGCCGGAAAGCCGAGCAAAGCAGCTCCTGGATTCCTGACCCACAAATAAATTTGGGGATAATCTGCTTTGCAGCAACAGAGAACTACTACAACTGCTAACAGCCCCATGCTCCTACTTCGGGGCCCTTTGCACTTGCTGTTGGCTCTGCCTGGAACTGTCTTGCCCCGCCTCCTTCAGGTCTCCCCTCAGATGTTCCCATTGCCTCCTCTCATGCCCCTTTTCCAACCTCCCTACCTCGGGTCATGTTTCATTCTAGCTCCTATTTTACAGATATGAATACCAGCTCTCTGAGGGCAGGGATCCTAGTTTCGTTCGATGCTCTATCCACAGTACCTGGAGCAGTGCCTGGCACAGAGTAAACGCTCAATATGGTGGCCACTGGTATGAGAATCTAGCAGTCCGGATTCTTGTCATAGCTGGACTAGTCTCCCATTTGTTTCCTGCCCACTCCGTGCCCACCCTGGCCAGGGGATGGGACATAGTTGTGACCCTCCCCCCCATTGGGTAAGTAGTAATTGGCGACTATAATGTGGAAGCCCCTCCATATCTCCCCACTTCCCTCGAGACAAAATCCCAGCTCCTCTGTGCAGCCTACAGGCCCCCATCCCTGCATGAAATTCCACCATTCAGCCACAAAGAACCATGAGCAGTTACATTCACTGATAGTCTCCGCACCCACAAACAAAGCTTTGGGAATCAAACAGAAAACATTAGAACACTTATTTTTTAATTTTTTTTTGTTTGCTAAAGAATGTATTTATGTAATAAATATATTATAAAATAATCTACAGAATCTATTGGTATAACCGTATTTGTATGTCCTTTATAAATAAATATCCATCTGGGGGTGGACCTTCAACATTTTTACTGATGGGGTGTAAAATCGGAAACAAATTTTAGCGTCATTCATCCTAATACGGTTTTGCCTCCCAGAGGACGTCCGGCAACGTCTGGAGACATTTTCAGTGGTCGACCACTAGCGGAGGAGAGCCGCGCGCACCCAGAGGGTGGGCGGCAGGGATGCTGCTGGATGCCTTACAATGCACAGCACAAGGAACCCAAAGAGCCAGCAGTAGGAGGGTGAGAAGCCTGGCCTACAGCGCCAGGCTCTCTCTTGATTCCGGGGTCTTTGCACCAGCTGTTCCTCCTTCCCCGCTCTTTTTCTCAACTAGCTAAAACCTCAAACTTCAAGTTGTCCCCTCCTCCAAGAAGCCATCCCTGCTGCCTATAGGCTGGGCCAGAGCCCTCCAGCCCCCCAGCGCTGACTGGGTTAAAATTGTCTTGCTGTATTTTTACAAGCACCTCCCCCAAACCTCAATGCCAGTCCCTTCGGACCGACAGTATTAGGTGGCCCAATGACTAGCTCGCCTACTAGTTTGCTTGTCAGGCGCTACTGAGCGTTCTACCCCGCGTCTCGAATTCGGGCACATATCCATGCAAACATACAAACCCACACGCACACCCAGGGTGTAGTTTACTCTTATGATCCCCATTTTACAGAGGGGTACACTGAGGTCCCGCGAGGGAATCTGGCCAGGTAATAGACTCATATAGGTAGGCGCCTAGGTCCTAATTAGTGCCTGATTCCTGGGGGAGGGGAGAGGGCGGGGAACTAGGGGAGCGCTAGCTTGGTGGGGCGGCGGCGCGGAGACTCGCCGCGGCCTTCCGATGCAGCCCCGCCCCCACTAGGGACGTGAAGACGCGGACCCCGCGCAGCGTGGGGACATGTGACCGACTGCAGAGGCCGCGCCGCCACCCTCACCCAAGGTCTGCGCGCTCCACCGCAGGGTGCAGACCCCAAGAGCTCTCCTGGGTTTGGGGTGCAAGAGCAGAGGCGGGGCCAGGGCGGAGCCAGCGCACAGCCCCCCACCCACCCAACGAAAGTGAAAGAGGGGGCCGGGAAGGAAGGGCGGAGCCGGCCCGAAGCCCCGCCTCCTGCCCTGCGCGCTGCTGGACCGCCGGGCGCGCCCAAGTACGGGGGGCGCCGAGCGCGCAGTGCGGACCCTCGCGGGTACCTGCGCAGCCGCCACCATGTCTCAGGAAGGTGTGGAGGTAGGAGATGACTATGACGGGGCCTGAGGGAGACGCCGGGGAGGAGGTGGGGCCGTGAAGGGGGCTTCGCAGTTCCTGGGTACTCCATCCGAAGCCCAGACGTTTCCCTGGCTGGCGCTTGTCCGCCCCCACCCCCGCCTCAGAAAGGAGAGTGACTGTCACCTCCCTCTGCGCGAAATGCGGCCTCCTCCAGGAAAAGCAGGGGCTGCAGTGTCAAGGGTCAGAGGCCAGGGGTTACCTGGCCGGCCTCCTCCTGAGCCCGGGACGCTCGCCCCGATCCACACCCTCCCCCAATGCCCGGTGGGGACTTTGGCTTTTTCCAGGAAATGCCTTGGAGGGATGGAGATGGGAGGTACTGAGGCCAAAACCTAGGGTCAAGTTCAGGCCGGGAGGGGAATGCTTAGAAATGGGGGAGGGGCAATCGCTCTTCTTCTTATCCCCTCGGAGCCCACCTGTCCCCTCCCTCCCCAGCTGGAGAAGAGTGTCAGGCGCCTCCGGGAGAAGTTTCATGGGAAGGTCTCCTCCAAGAAGGCGGGGACTCTGATGAGGAAATTTGGCAGCGACCACACGGGAGTGGGCCGCTCCATCGTGTATGGTGAGCGGGCCAGCGGGCTGGAGTTCTGGGTCCCGTGGGGGTTCTGCGCGAGGGGCACGTGGTCGGTGGGGAAGGTAGGAAAAGGCATTGAGATCTTCTCTTGGTCTGTACTGGGGCTCTGAAATTCCCGCAAGATCCTTCAAGGGCCCTTCACTTACACTTACACTTGCTCTCCCTACTAGGGGTAAAGCAGAAAGACGGACAGGAACTGAGTAATGACCTGGATGCCCAGGTAAACTGCCCCTCCCTCCTCAAAGGGCAAGGTAACCGGGGAGGGAGAACAGAGGGAACCCAGCCCATCCATCCATAGTGAGCCCCCTCAGTGCACTGCCAGTCCACAACTCATGGTCCAACCACATTTACTTACTTCGCAGCCAGGGAGCTTGCAAACAGTAGGCATTCCTTACATGCTGATGGTATTAAGTGGGGGGAGAGAGATATGAAACTAACCAGTGAAACGAGCCAGGATTAATGTCATCATAGAGGAGCCCTGGAGGTCAGAGAAAGCTTCCTAGATGTGTTGCCAACTCGCTGGAGAAGAGTGATCCCTGGGAATGGTGGGGTCAGAAACGGTCTTCTGGAAGGGGGAATGGTGTAAGCAAAGGAACACAGTCTGGGATGAGCAGAAGATGGAGAAAAGAGAGGGGCAGGGAAGCTCAAGTGCTGGATGAATGAATGGATAGATGGAAAGGCTTTGAGACACAGGAACATCATGGCCACTTCGCCCTTTGGATGGCTTTGGTGGCTGATGCACTGTGGATTCTGCCTGCTTCGAAGGCCCGGCATTGAGTTGTTAAAGAGTATAATAAAATATGTATTATACTCTTTACATTTATACATTTACATTTACATCTATAAAGAGTATGAAAAAGTAATAGCGAAGAGTTGCATTGATTGAGCACTTCCGTTGCAGCAGGACTCCAGGAATTTTACCTGTTGACTCATTTCATTGCCACAGTGGCCCCATGAAACAGGTCCTACTATTTATCACCGTGTGTTACGGATGAGGAAACCAACACACAGAGTGATGAAGCCACTGGCCAGGATTACGCAGCATGCAGGAGGCCACTGGAACTTGAACCCCAGCCACACAGAGTCAGAGCCTGGGCTCTGAGATGCCCCTCATTAGGAACCCCAGGGTGGGGGGTGTGACTTGGCCATGTTCCCACAGCTGGCAGTAATAGGGGGAAGGGAAGAGGGGGACAAACTTGCTTTTATCTGAACCCAGAGCTAGAACAGGTAGCCTAAAGCAGCATGACCTCAAAGAGGCAACCTGTTTCGGTGCCGACAAGAATGTGACATTTGCAAGCAGGATGGAAGCATGAGGTCAAGACCTGCTTCACCACAGTCACCGACGGTGATCTCAGGCAAGCCCTCCTCCAGCTCTGGGCCTCAGTTTCCCCACCTGAGCAATGGGGATAATGAGTGTGCCCACCTCTCAGGACTGCTGTGAGGATAACTGAAGTCATGCACCTGGCTCTCAGAGAGTGAGTGCTGCTCCTTCAGCTCCTTGTGAGTTAGGAACACTCTACTCTTACATGGGGCCAAGACCCTCCCCCAAAAGATAAGGTGAAAAGAGGCCTGAGCTGAAACCTCAGCCTCTGCCCATGGTGTCTCCACCCAGGACCCACCAGAGGACATGAAGCAGGACCAGGACATCCAGGTGAGTCCACGATATGGGAATGGGGAGGTGGAACAGGGAGGCCATCCATGGGGGAGAGGTATGTCTGTCAGAGTAGAGCTGACGTGTTTATGTTGGTGGAGGAGGTGTGACCACACTGCCCGCCTACCCGATTCCACAGGCAGTGGCAACCTCCCTCCTGCCGCTGACGGAAGCCAACCTGCGCATGTTCCAACGTGCCCAGGAAGACCTCATCCCCGCTGTGGACCGGCAGTTCGCCTGCTCCTCCTGTGACCATGTCTGGTGGCGCCGCGTGCCTCAGCGGAAGGAGGTGATAACCCAATCCCTAACCTCAACTCTCCTGACTCTGTCCTAAACTCCACTCCCAACCCCCACCTTCAGTGTCTGAAGCTCTGATTTAAGAACATCGTGAGAGCTCAACCTCCATCTCAGAACCCAACTCCCAACCTTGGGCTGGACTTCTGACCTTTAACTTGAGCTCAACCCTTATGCCAGACCTTGACCTCTGACTCCACAGTCTGACAGCTACCACAGAAATGAAACCTGACCCTGAAACCACAACCCAAAATCTGACTTCAGACCCAGCGACCATTGGTGTGCTTCTGGTACATGCTTAAGAACCAGCTCTTGCAGCATAGGAGGAAACCAGATTTGTAGTGTTTACCAATTTCCATGGTGTAAATATTCCCACTGTAGCCAATATCAAGCTACCAGAGCTCCCCTCTGACAGGGAGCCTGTTCCCTTTTTCACACCTGCAGGTGTCGCGGTGTAGGAAATGCCGGAAGCGCTATGAGCCAGTGCCAAGTGACAAGATGTGGGGCGTGGCTGAGTTCCACTGTCCAAAGTGCCGGCACAACTTTCGGTGAGGCAACATTCAGCCCTGCCCCGCCCTGCCCTGCCCTGCCCTGCCCCGCCCCGCCCTGCCCTGCCCCGCCCCGCCCCGCCCCAGCCCCACCCCACCGCAGCCCAACCTCACCCTCACCTTTGAATCCTCTTGGCCCTGCTTGACCCCAGGGGCTGGGCACAGATGGGGTCTCGGTCCCCTTGCTATGGCTGTGGCTTTCCCGTGTATCCGACACGGATCCTCCCTCCGCGCTGGGACCGGGACACGGGGCACCGCAGCACCCACACCCACTCCTGCTCAGCTGCTGACTGCTACAACCGGCGAGGTAAGGGTCTGGCGTGTGTCCCGTGGCCTCCCCCTACTCAGGGCAGTCTATTTGGCCTTAACTCCTGAGACAGCAACCTCTGGATTCTTAAGTACCAAGGTCTCAGTCCCTGTGGCCACTCCCCGTAGCGTCAGCCCCTCTTCCATGTCTTCTGTGCCCCACCCCCTTCTCCAGGGCCTTCAACACTACCTCCCGCAGCATCAGCCACCTTCCATGGTCTTGCCATGAGGCTCTGTAATTTTCCCCCAGTGGCCCATACCCCAGTGTCCTGTGGCCTCGGCCTCTGTTGTCTCTGTATTCTTGGTTCCTCTTTTGCCTCCTGGAGTCTCAGGTGATGCCCAGGTCCCTGGGTCTCCTGTGGCTTTGACACCTGTGACTTTCAACTCCGAATTTCCTGTAGCTCTGAGCCTGTGGCCTCAGCCTCTCTCCTCCCCAGATCCCCAATGGCCCCAGACCCCTTGCCCCCAGAGTCTCATGTGACCTCAAGTCCCCAGACCTCAGAACCCCTCCCTTCCCAGAGCCCCACGTGCCTGGGACATCCTGTGCACACCCCAAGAGCCGGAAGCAAAACCACCTGCCCAAAGTCCTGCACCCCAGCAACCCCCACATCAGCAGTGGCTCCACTGTGGCTACCTGCCTGAGCCAGGGGGGCCTCCTAGAACACCTGGACAACCTCATCCTGGAGGACCTGAAGGAAGAAGAGGAGGAAGAAGAAGAGGAGGAGGAGGGCGGGCACGGGGAGTGACCCCTGCCAGGTGCAGATGCAAACCAGACACAGTGTGTAGATATTTTGTGTTGTTATAAAATATGAGCTCAAACTGAGATCTACGTGCCCTTGGGGAGCCACCTGGGTCGGAGATGTTGGCAGAGGGATTCCTGGGTCCTGGGGAGCAGATCCAATGGGAAGGTCTGTGCAACATGGCTCACACTGAACCATGAAGGAGGTGTGGCCAGGACAACGTGGGCTCCTGCTGACAGCCATCCCCTGCAACCTGGGGGTCAGATGGACAGATGATCACAGCCTCAGGGGCCGGATCAGCATGGCAGCCTTCTTGAGAGAGTAAGCCCCGCCACGAAACTCAGCCCAATAGACACCATCCTGGTAGCGGTTGCGGTAGTGTCCACCACGGTGCCACACACCATTGAGGTTGGAGTGCGCACAGGCATGGTACCACCAGCCTCCCCGATGGTACAGGGCACAGTTACCTGAGGGGAGAGAGAGTCCATGTCCTCTTACCAGAATAAAAGCATCTACCAGTACCTCACTAGTGCAAGGCTTTAGCCAGGCATCCCCTGGCCCTCCACTTCTTCAAAGTAATGGCCTTAATTCTTAACTCCTTCCCTATCCCCTTACCAAAGTAAAAGTCACACTTTTCCCACCCTTTCTGCAACCCATGATCTCTACCTCTCATTCTTTTACAGGGTGTGGGGGTGGAATATTTACTTCCTTTCTAGAATAGAGTCCTAGCTCTCATAGAGTCCCCCATACTCCCTACCAGAAGAAGAATCCTGACTTAATGCCTCATTAGAGAATGAATCTGAGCTCCCCAGCCCCTCACCAGAATAAAAGTCCTATCTGTTCTGTATTCCCTGATCCTTACCAGAGAGAAATTTTACACACCCTTTCCCATTCTCTCCCTAGAAGCCCCACCTCCCCATCTGGCTCTTTACCAGAATAGGAGTCTCGGTCCCTATCCACAGTGCTGAAAGGCTTGTCACTGTGCCAGGAAAGAGAGTCTCCAGCATCTCCATGGTACTGGCCAAGCCGTAGGCGGTAGTGGTCCCTCTCAGGCTCCAGGGAGAAACCGTCATAGTGGGCACGGGCACCACGGCCCCCCCAATCCTCCAGGAGCACCAGTAGCTCATGGTCCCCACGGCTGGTCAGCTGATGTATAGGTTCAAGGCCTAGCCAGTATTCCCCATCAGGCTGCCCAAAGCCCACCTGGCAGGGCAGGAAAGTCCAAGAGTTAGAGGCAGGTCCCCTTTTCTCCCCAGCCCTGCCCCTACTTACGTACACACACCTTGTAGTGCTGCCAGGTAGTGAAGAAGTTAACTGAGCCATCTTGCCGCCTCTGAATCACCGTCCAGCCTCCACCCTCCAGCTGTTGGTCACACCAGGCTGACACTGTATGCCGGCCCAGTCGCAGCTCATACACTCCACTCTGCCCATGGCCTGCCTGGTGAGCCTCTGCACAATCTTGCCATGGGCCTGTAGACAGACATATGGGGTAAGCATGGCCTTAGAACCTGGACCGATCAAACCCTTATTAGAGTGAGAGTCCCAATTTGCACTGGTTCCCCTCCCCAGAATAACAGCCCTGCTAAGTACCCCAGTAGAGACTTCTTGTAAGTCGCTCCTCTCACTACAGCACATGGGGATCCTGGAGTTCTTACACCCTGGTTCTGACATCTCACCAGAATAAAAGCCCTGAACATGACACTCAAAAAACCAGCTCAAATTCTCACCAAAGTAGCAATCTTAAATTTGATCCCTCACCAAAATAAAAGTACCTCCTCTCCTATTTTCATATCAGTAAAAATTTCTTGGTAAGAGCCATAGTCCCTTGTTCTATCACCAGACTAAAAGGTATTATTTCCTCCAGTCCTCTCACCATGAGAGGCATATGTCATTAAAATCCTGACTCCAATTTCCCTCTGCTCATGCTACACCAGAAGTTCCCTGGCTCCTCACACCCCCCAACAGCCCTGCCCTCATCTTACCCGTTGGCTTAGTAGGGACAGCAGGGTGCCCTGCAGCCATGGGAGAGGCCAAGGGCCTGTGCTGTCTCAGGGTCTGGTCTTGCTGGGACTCTGGGGCTGGGTCTAGCCTGCTGGCGGCATTGGTGCCACCCACAAGACTGACTGGAACCACAGGCACCAGGGGCGGTGGCAGGACCTGGGTGACCAATAGAATCAGATGTGATTGCATTAACCCTCAGCCCAGGCCACTCTGGGCTGCTAAACCTCTCAGCACCCAAACGGGCAAGAGATCAGGCAGGTGCATGGATCGATCCTCCCCAAAAGCCCAAACCTAGTGGTCAAGAGCAGACAGAGCTGAGCCTAAATTCCTACTCTGGTGTGCACAATTTAACCAATCTATGCCTCAAACTCCTTTTCTTTAAAGTTAGAATACTGATAAGAGTGGCTCCAACAATGAGTATTAACTTACTTAATGTCCCCAACAACCCTGTAAAGTAGGATTAATGTCCCAGAGCAACAGTGCCAGAATTCGGAATAATATGACAGAAGTTAGAAACTGTAATGCAGGGTCTATATCGTATGTTACATTAACATTTCCATAACATGGGTCTTTGGTCTCTATCCACATAACATGCTTGATTACAGATTCTAAGAATGTTCATATGACGTGGGTAACTAAAGATTTTAAGTAGCCACCGTTGAGTTTTGACCCAAATAAATTATAGGAGAGGCAGGAATCTGGGTTTTGGAACTTTTCAGATAAGACACCGTGGGGTTGCAGGAGGCCCATCTGACAGACAATGCGCACAGGTGGCCACTCTAGGGGTACCACGGAGGTTACCTGCTGTTGCCCGCCCGCGCCGCCCGGGCACAGGCGCTCCAGACGGGCAATAAGGCTACTCTGCCGGCTAACTAGCTGCGCCAGCTCGCGGAACTTGACATCCAGCTGATGAAAGCGGAGGGCTGCGCGCTGTGCCTCGGCCGACGCGTTGAGCACGCGCTCCCCGAGCAGTTCCAGCGCGGTGGCGGGCTCCGCCTTCGGGCCGGGCCCCGCCCCCGGGCCCGCCTCGTGCTGCAGCTGCGTACGCAGCTGGCCTAGGCGGGTGCTGAGGCTGCGGCTCTCCTTGCGCAGCGCGCGCACCTCGCCCGCCACTGCGCCGTCAGCCGCTGCTAGCCGCTGAAGTTCTCGCAGCACCTCCTCGTGGCGGCCCACACGCACGCGCAGCGCCGCCACCTCGCTGGCGTTCACGGCTTCCGGCGCCGGGCGCACCGCCGTCGGGCCGCTCCAACACACGGCGCCTGTGAACTTCTGGTGGGGTAGTACGAAGGTGTAGGTGCAGCGCGGGGCGCCCGCCCGCGCCCAAGAAACGCCCAGCAGAAGCAGCAGCGGCAGCATGTGCAGCCCGGATGCCCACATGGCGGATCTGCCGGCAGAGAACGAACGGGAAGGAGAGGAGGGTCCGGGAACCCAGACTAGACCTCCGACTCTCCGGCCGGGCCAAACCCGGCTAGGCCCAATGCAAGTGTTTACACCTCCCTGGCTCCAGGTCCACACACGCCCACCTCTGTATCTCCCCCGGCCCTAGCCTGGAGCCAGCCCAGTGGGATCCCGCCCAGGCCGCTCCTCTGAGTCCCAGCATCCTGTGGGACAGAATTCATTCAACAAGCCTTCATTGAGCGCCTACTGTGTGCCGGCCTCATTTCTAGGCGCTGGGAATACGGTCAGAGACAAAACAAAATCCCTGCCTTGGTGGGCGAAGAACAAAATAAAGTATGAGATTAATAAAATGTTTTAGATGGTGCTAGGAGAGACACGGGGATCTATGCAGGAGTAATGTGAGAGGAGAGGAAAACCTGGAGAAAGTGATGTTTGACTAAAGACCTGAAAGGGGTGAAGGAGGAAGCCATGGGAATGTCTGGGGGAGAAGAGAAGCCCTTGCAGGAGAACGAGATGTGCAGCATGTAGCTAGATCATGCTGATGTATTTAACACACACACACACACACACACACACACACACACCCCTCGGGAGGCTGGAGCCCAAGCAGAAACGGGTGGGAGGGGTTGAGGGGCAAGTCTCACTAACCGGGTCTAGTAGTGGACAGGCCATGTCCCACGTCCTCAGATCAGAACAGTGCCTTGTGCCACATAAATCTGCCAACACACACGTGCCACAGGTCTGCCGTGTGCCCCAGGTGTTACCCAGCTTAACACAGGTGACCTCCAAGTGTCCTCACTCAAGGGTGTGTACTCGTGGCCACCTATACCCAACCCTGTAGGGTCCCCACACGGGCTCCCATTGCCTTCATACCTGGGGTTCACAGGCTCTCTGAGGACACACATACCTCCCATATGCACTTGCCGACACTCAAAACACTTCTCATGTGTCCACACATCACCCCCATCTGTACCAAGTTCCACTATGTCCCAACCCACACATCCTGGTGGCCACACAGCACGGGTCCCGTGGTCTTTATCATCACACACATTGCCTCTTTCACACATTCAACAAACACTCCTTGAGTGCCTATTGTGTGCCAGGAGCTGTTCCGGGCGATGAGGACAGTCATGACCAACAGACAAGATCCCTGCTCTCGTGAAATTGATATCCTGGTTGGGAAAATGGATGGCGGATAGGTCAGAGGGCAATAAGTGCTTAGGAGAAACCTCCAGCAGGGAAAGAAGTAGGAATCCTGGGCTGGGAGGGGCATTTTAAATAGAGGTGTCAGGTCTCTAAATAAAGGGAAGATGACACTTGAGTGACGACCCAAAGGAAAACAGAAGGGGAAGGACACTCAGGTAGAGGGAATAGGAAGTACAAAAGCCCTGAGGTGGGAGCTTGCTTGATGAGCCCAAGGAATAGAGAGGCCTGTGAGACTGGAACAGTGAGTGAAAGGAGGTAAGGGTAGGAAGGTGAGGGGCAAAGTATACAGGACCCTGAGTGTCTCAAGGAGGACTTGGGTTTTACTCTGGCTCATGTGGGAGCCAGGAGGGGTTCTGAGCTGGGAAAAGGCACATTTATGACTGAACTCACACATCAAACAGGGGATCCCAAGGGCAGACGAGGGTCCTCTCCTTGTCCCTGTGCCCTGAAGACACCAGACCCCCCACAACAGAAGTGGACTACATCCCCTGGAGCTAGAGTGTGTAACATCCACTGCCTACTGGGATCTCAGTCTGAGATGAGGAAGAGGCCTGGGAAAGCAGCCAGCCAAGCAGAGGCCCAACAGACAGAATCAGCCTCCACCTGCCCCCTCACCCTCTGCCCTCTCACCTCTCACAACCAAGATCCTGAATCCAGCGAGGAGGCACGTAGCAGGTACAGAAATCAGGGGAGAAGCCAAGGGTCCAGTCCAGCGGGGGCCTCTGAGCTGGGGAAGGGAAGAGCCGGTAGGAGAGCAGGAGGCAGGAGACTTGGTAACCCTCTCACCCCACTGAACCCCCGGAGCCTGGGACTAGAGCTGTGATGCTGAGCCCAGGAGCTCCAATTGTAAATATTTAGCCTTTCCCACATGAAAACTGAGGCCAAATTGCCAGACCTCCCTGCCCAGGCCACCAGAGCCTGATAACACAGGTCAGTGCCCTGGACATTCCCCCCATAGCAAAGCACAGAGCGTGGGAGGCTGCAGGCCCCAGGAAGCCAGGGAGATCCAGCGTCAGACGCAGACATATGCACACAAAGAGAAAAGGACAACAGCCAACATCAGCAGTGGCACCTGCTGTATGTCAGACACGACTCTAAGCTCTTTACATCTTTTGTCTCATTTAATCCTTGCAACCTGGGCTGGCTTCTGTGTGTAGCCTCATTATGCAGCAGGGAAAACTGAACCTCAGAGAGGGTGAGTGACTTGGTCATGGTTCCACAGCCCGAAAGAGTCCACAGTGGGATTTGGCTCAGGTAGCATGTCCAAAACTTGCATATGTATATACTGCGACAGTCACACACACCCATGTGCACATAACAATGCAGCACAAAGACACACAGACACCCAATAACACATTCAAATTGCTGCACAAAGCAGCAAAGATAGACAGATGGAACCTCTGTGTGTGTGTGTGTGTGTGTGTGTGTGTGTGTGTGTGTGTTTGCCTGGAATGTGCACACACAGATCCCTTTGGCCAAAGACACAACTGGAAACACAACTCAGATTCAGGCAGCAGTTGTGTTTCAAAATATGGTCACACAGACATATATATCACGCCTTAAAGGAAAATATCTGTGGGCTGTGTGTCTGTATCTGTGTGTCAGACACATACACACCCAGGTACACAGGGTCACACACTGGTAAGCCAGAGATGCAGACCAGGTACATAGCGAGACGCGGACACCTGCGCCGCCCTCCCCCCACCATAGTGCGCATGTTTCCATTTGTCTCCCATACACATCACCACATCCTCACACTGAGCAAGTCATGCAGGGACAGAAACAGGCAGAAGTAACCATACAGCCATTTCTCAGGGGTACCAAGAGACCCACACAGAGCCCCCAGGACACAGGTCTGGGATCTCCAACCTGTTCGAAGGCCTTGCCCACCCACCAGCAGACCAGCAGCCTTCTTCCCCAGTTCCTACCGTCCTGGACTCGTAATCCAACTGGACTCCCGAGCTGAAAGAGGAAATGATCCTCCCAGATCTGAAAGAGGCTGCCAGGCTGGACTCCGGCCTGGGCTGGGGCCCCCACACTGGGCCCCCTAGCCCCGCCACCCGCAGCCCCCTCCAGTTTCCCTCATTGGCAGCAGAGAGAGAAAAAAACCTGTCACAGAGAGGCTGACAGAAGGGAGAGTCTGAGAGAGAGAGAAGGGGAGAGAAATGGGGAGAGACATGGGGAGTCAGAAGACAGAGGGTGAGAGAGAAAGGGGGATAGGGAGAGAGAGAGAGAGGAGGAAGATGGAAACTTAGAGGTTATGAAAGAGACAACTGATAGCAGAAACAAAATCGGAGATGAAGACAGACAGGGAGGAGGAGACAGAGTGAAGGAAGAGCTGAGGAGAGGGAGACAAACGAAAGGGGAGGCAGAGGGGTTGGGAGCAGGGAGGTAGATGGAGGAGGGGAAGCAAATGGGACAGGGAAAGAGATTTTGGGGGTTGTCCCTTCCCTCCACCCCAAGGTTCTGGGGAAGAAGCCAGGGGCCTGAGGCCAAGACTGGGGCTTTGAGCGGAAACCGGGAGGGGATGAATATTTCACCAAGGGCCCACATCCCTGAGTTTCCAGAAGGTGATGTGGAGTTTCCATCCTCAGCCCATCCGCAGTCAGGGCCCCCTGTGAAAGACAGCTACCTCTCAGGAGCTGGGGGCCCAAGTAAGTAAACCTGGGGCTCAAGTGAGTAACCAGCCATGGAACTACCTCCCACCCCCGCTCCGTGATCCCCACTGGCACCAGTGTGCCAAGCACTGTGCGTCTCTCTTTACTTACGGGTTGGGTCAGGGGTTAAGGGACTATCAGGACTATCTATCATAGTTACTTTAGCGGTGTGGATATTGGCTCTCAAAATCACACCGCCGGCGGAAGTGGCCGAAGTAGGATTCGAAACTGCACTTCCTTTCTCGGAGCTCTCGCAAGCTGCCTGAGAGATGCGGGTTCAGCCCCGGTTTCCGTAGAAACAGGTACCCCGCATCTCTATAGCAATAGAGGCAATGGTTTTTAAATATTTTACTTATTGATTTAAGAGAGCGAGAGGAAGGAGAGACGTCGATTTGTTGTTTCACTCATTTATGCGTTCATTGGTTGTACCCTGACTGGGGATCGAACCCTCAAGTCTTGGCGTTTTTGGGCAACGATCCAACCGGAGGAGCTGCCCCTCCAGGCCCTTTTGCCCCCACCCCACCTTTTCCCCCGCCGTCGCTGTCCGGTGCGTTTGCCCATCTGGTGATGTCACCGCGCAGCGACGCCTCTTGCGAGCGCCTCTCCGGTGCCGGAAGTGAGCGGAAAGACGCCGGAAGCGCCCTGCAGAAGGTGCTCGTGGACAGGGTGGCGACATGCGGCAGTCGGGGCGGGTGAGGTGCGGCGGCCGGGGAGGCGGGCGGAGCGGGCGGATGGCCGATGAGGGCTGCAGGGCTCACCGCTCGTTTCTCACCCCCGTAGTCCCGGTACCAGAAGTGCGCGCGCGCCCAAGCTCAACAACGGAACCTCGAGGCCTATGCCGCGCAGCCGCATTCGTTCGTGTTCGCTCGCGGCCGCGCGGGTCGCGGCGTCCGGCAGCTCAGCCTGGACCTACGGCGGGTCATGGAGCCGCTCACCGCCACCCGTCTGCAGGTCTGCAACCCTCAGCCCACCTCCACCTACCCTGCCTGGGTCCCGTTTTCAAGGCTGCGGGGGCAGGCTCCAACCGCGTTGGGTTTCCTTCTACTTGGTTGGAGAAAGGGACCCTTATGGGGACTGTCGTCCTGTTTCTCAGAGCTTTGCGGGGCAGCAGCGAGGGCGCGCGCCTGTACGCACTCTGCTTGGGGCTTGACTGGGTGCCTGAGACTGTTGATTAAGAGGGGACTCGAATCAGCAAAGCTAGGTTGGAAAATTAACTTCCCTGAAACGTCTAGAGCAAGTTAGGTAACTTCGGTGGGCTTTATTTGGCTCATCTGCAAAATGGAGCAATGCACACAGTAAGCAAGGGACAAAAGTGGTAGTGGCATTCAAGTCTGATTGGCTCCAGAGGTCAAGAGCGTTCTACTATCCTCTTACTCTAGTCTCTGAACGGGTAAATGCAAGAAAGGGCATAATTTGAATTTAGAACCTTTGCTCAGAAAAGGGTCATCTTGGTCATTTGGTTGTTTCTTTTTCTTTATAATATTTAGATACGAAAGAAAAATTCTCTGAAGGATTGTGTGGCAGTGGCTGGGCCCCTTGGGGTCACACATTTCCTGATATTGAGCAAAACGGAGACTAATATCTACTTTGTGAGTGGATCCCAGCACCCATTGCCCCCACACCCTCCTCCTTCCCCAGCTCTCTTGATGAACCCACGTGCCTCTGAAATGCTATGATTCTGGCTGCAAAGTAAACGCTCTGAAGAGATGGGGCAAAGGTTCCCATTCCTCCTGACCCTTATATGTACAACTCGACTCTCATTTTGATCCCTTCTTCTGTAGAAACTGATGCGTCTTCCAGGAGGCCCCACTCTGACCTTCCAGATCAACAAGGTAAGTCTTGGAGGTAGTATGAGTACCATGTGGCGTAAGAGCTGGGTTTGAGAATGGGGCCGCCCATGTGTGGTTGGTAGTCACCCACTCCTCACCCTGTCCTGCAGTACGCACTGATTCGTGACGTGGTCTCCTCGCTGCGCCGCCACCGCATGCACGAGCAGCAGTTCACCCACCCTCCCCTCCTGGTGCTCAACAGCTTCGGCCCCCATGGCATGCACGTGAAGCTAATGGCCACTATGTTCCAGAACCTGTTCCCCTCCATCAATGTACACAAGGTGGGCAGGGCCTGGTGTGGTGGCAGGTGTGGGTGGACGGGCAGGTAACAGGTATCACACAGGCCCTGGGTTGGTTGCTCAGTCCCCACTTCCCAGCACTGGGACTGAGAACTCTGGCTCCCAAGGTCGAATTTCACCCATGTGTGTCATGAGGCAAGAGGCTCCCCTTGAGCTGCCTTCCCATCTGGCAGGTAGATTATACCTGTGGTAATTTCGTTGAGTGCTGGCTGGATCAGGCATTGTAGCTCGTGTTGTCATGGCCCCATCTTAGGAGGGAAACTGATGCTGACAAGTGCAGTTAATAGTCTGGGGTTAGATATAAGGCGACAGTTCCTGATTTCCGGCACTAGCAGGTCTCACATTTGGCTTGTTTGATGTGATCATTAGGGAGTCTAGAGTCAGGGGCCTTGGTAGGTGCTGCAACCAGGATTTCCAGCCAGCAGTCCATGGATAACTCTTGCAGCCCTATCGGTCCCTGCAGGGCTTGGCTTGGGCTCCAGCATGCTGTGAGGCCTGAAGGCAGCTGACATGGTGCTGTGCCCTCGTCCTCTCCTTTCCAGGTGAATCTGAATACCATCAAGCGCTGCCTTCTCATCAATTACAACCCTGACTCCCAGGATCTGGATTTCCGCCACTAGTGAGTACGGGGGGGCGGGGCTGGGGTGGGGGGCCCCTCAGTGTGCGGCTGATGACAGTGCTGCTGCTGAGACTCAGTGATTGCCCAGTCTCAAAGTAAACGCCCTGACGCACAATGAAAAGGGGAGAGGGGAGAGCAGGTCTCCGACCCCGTGGCCCCTAAAACCCTTCCTCACTCACTCCGGCCCCTGCAGTAGCATCAAAGTCGTTCCTGTGGGTGCAAGCCGTGGGATGAAGAAGCTTCTCCAAGAGAAGTTCCCCAACATGAGCCGCCTGCAGGATATCAGTGAGCTGCTGGCCACGTGAGGAAGGGGAAGGGTGGGAGGCTACCATAGGTGCAGGGGGTCCCAGAACTGTCCCAGAAGCCTGGGATCCCCTGCTGAGCTGTGTGTCCCTGGCACAGGGGCGCGGGGCTGTCAGAGAGTGAGGCAGAACCTGATGGTGAGCACAACATTACGGAGCTGCCCCAGGCTATCGCGGGGCGTGGCAACATGCGGGCCCAGCAGAGCGCTGTAAGGCTTACTGAGGTGAGGCCCAGTGGCTGAGTTGATTTCCTCTGATATCCCCCAGCCCTAAGGAAGGACTGACTTCTCCTTCACCTTCTTCCAGATCGGGCCTCGGATGACGCTGCAGCTTGTCAAGATCCAGGAGGGCCTTGGAGAGGGGAATGTGCTTTTCCATAGTTTCGGTGAGGACAGGGATGGCAGGCGTGGGGTTGGGGTCTGGGGCCCTCCAAAGTAGGTTGTTAGGTGCAGTGGGCATGCCTCGATCTTGGTGAAAATCTTTATGAACTATCTCTTTCTTCTAAGTGCACAAGACAGAGGAGGAACTACAGGCCATACTGGCAGCCAAGGAGGAGAAGCTGCGGCTCAAGGCCCAAAGGCAGGACCAGCAGGCGCAGAATGTCCAGCGTAAGCAGGAACGGCGAGAGGCCCACAGGTGTGTGGTCAGTGGGTGAGGCGGGTCCCTGGTGCAGGCTGCCACACCAATCAACATCCCTCTCCTCCAGGAAGAAGAGCCTGGCGGGCATGAAGCGGGCACGGGCAGAGGCTGATGGGGATAGTGATGCTGAGGACCCTGGGGCGCCCCCAGAGGCAGAAGGGGCCGGCCAGCAGGAGGAGGAGGATGAAGCGGAGTATTTCCGCCAGGCAGTGGGCGAAGAGCCTGATGAAGGTGTGGCAGGGATTGGTGCAGCCGGGTACTGTGAACCTGTCTCTCTGCCCTGGTGACCCTGACACAGTCTCTCCTCACAGACCTGTTCCCAAAGGCCCAGCGGAGACGGCCCCCCGGGCCTCCAAGCAAGAAGCGGCGGGTAAAGCAGCGGAGGCCAGACCATGGCAGTGACCGGAGACCTCTAAAGACCAAGGGCAGGCCCTGGGGGGCCCAGGCCAAGCTGGGGCCTCGGGGGGCTGCTCAGGACTGTGGCCGAGGCCGAGCTCGGCCACCTAAGAGAGTGGCCTAAAGCAGAATCTGAGCAGCGGATGGAATGCCCCAGATTGGGGCCCCAGAGATGCTGCCCTGGGCCCCTGCCTGGGTGTCCAGGTGCAGCCCTCAGTTTCCTTTCATAAAGGAGCTGGTTCCCCAACCTCCACTCTAATAAACCAATTTCCCAGGAGTCAGAGGCTGCATTTGCAATAGGGGGACTGAGGACAGAGGGCCCAGAGTGGTTAGTAGCCCCTGGGAGTTGGATGTGTAGGATCTGAGGGCAGAGCTCAGATTTCACCCTGGTCTTTGCTGCCTCTGGGTCCTCGGCCCCTCCCCAACCTCCCTCAGACTGAATGCTCCCACCAGCAGAGCCCAGTTTTGGAGATTGCCATGAGAAAGGAAGTGGTCAGAAAGGTGGCTGGCGGTCGATTAAATCGGATTTGTTCTCTGTGGGCTGTAGGTGGAGCTACTGGGGGAGGGATTGTGACACATTTGGGTGGCAGGCACAAAGGCAGAGTGCGAGGGCCATGGCAGCCACCACCTCAGGTGAGGAACAAGCACAGCTGGGTTCTTGGGCTAGGCCTGCATGCGGGGCCCTGGACCCTGTGTGGCTCAGGGTGGAGAGGTGGCAGTGGCGGGAGGATGGTAAAATAATGTCTGAAAAGTCGCGTCCTCAGAGGTCGGGCACCGGGAGCTGGGACAGGAAGGCAGAAAGTGCAGAAACTATCGCAGCGAGGGAGGGTCTGGGCATGTGGTTCAGTGTGGCCAACCCGCTGGACCCACCGGGAAACAAGCATTAGTTTCTCAGGAGGCTGAGGCTGAGGGTGTGTGGGAGTTAACTGCAGGGCCAGCTCTTCCTGCTTTGTACTGTCCCCTGTGCTGTTCCGGGTACTAGGGAACCTCAGGCCGGCACTCCCTGCTTTCAAAAAGGACCTTTTCCTGGGTATTTTACTTAAAACAGCAATCACGTGGAGATAGAGGCTGTTTTGAGAAAAAGGAAGGGGGCCAAGGGGCGCGGTGGCTATATTACAGCGGTCAGGGCCAGAGGTGAGGGAGAGCCTGATTCACAGACAGTGCAAAGAACCGGAACCAGGATGTGCATAAGGAGCAGCGAGGAATCAGACTAGGAGTCACGCGGAGCAGGAGAGGATGAGAGCAAGTGGGTGGCTTGAGGCGAGCACTGGCTTTTTTTCCCTTCCGGGAAGGAGGGAACGCTAGAGTAGGCGGTGAACCAAGTGATTCAACCGTAGGTGCTCACAGGCGCCCCCTGGAGGCTCTGGGGAGAACACGGTGAGGAGGGGAGCCGAGGGAGTGGGGCCTAGGCAACTGCTGGTCATGGTGGGAGATGGCGCGGGCTGGACACTAGCGGTGCTAAGGGGTGACAAATTGTCAAGGTGGGGACTTGCTGATAGAGTGGACCTGGAAGAGTACAGTGGGGTCTGAGACTATCCTGGGTTCCTGCTCCTCCACCCCAGGCCCGATGGCTCTTAGTTGTCACTGCCAAGTTATATGGGTCCTGCAAGGGCAGCAATCCCCCCTCGTTCTTGAGGGTGCGGGCCCCAAGAGCGCCAAGTGTACTTCGGGCTTCTGGCATTTATAGGCCTGACGTCCTCTGTAAAAAGGAGCTGAAGCTGGTGCCCTCCCTGGCAGTGGACAAGGCTCAGCAAAAAGGGTCCACATACAAATGGATCATGCAGGCTTGGTGCCCAACGGGTGCTCAAGACTGATGCCACAGTGCTGTGTTGCTCTAAAAGCGGGGGGGGGGCACATTGAGGGACAGGCCTCACTTGGCAATGCCCTTGGTCCACAGGTGCCCCACCCTGCCCAGCCAACATTACCGCAGCTGTTGACCAAGTCCTCAGTAGCTTCCAGGAAAGCTTTCTGTGGCCTATGCTGGTGACTGAGTTCCTGGTGGCTGTGGCTGGCAACAGCCTGGCCCTCTACCGCTTCAGCACACGGGAGCAGCGCCCATGGTCCCCAGCTGTGGTCTTCTCCGCCCAGCTGGCTGTCAGTGACCTGCTCTATGCCCTGACACTGCCCCCGCTGGTGGCCTATTTCTACCCACCCAAACACTGGCGCTACGGGGAGGCTGCGTGCCGCCTGGAGCGCTTCCTCTTCACCTGCAACCTGCTGGGCAGCATCGTCTTTATCACCTGCATCAGCCTCAATCGTTACCTGGGTGTCGTCCATCCCTTCTTTGCCCGCTCTCGCCTGCAGCCCAAGCACGCCTGGGTCATTAGTGCCACCGGCTGGGTGCTGGTGGCCCTGCTGGCTGCACCCACGTTCAGCTTTTCCCGCCTGATGACACCACAAAAGGAAGGTAACTGCACCGTGACCAGGCAGGAGGCCTGCATCAAGTGCCTGGGGACTACAGGTGACAACCAGCTGGAGGCCTACACAGTCTACAGCCTGGTGCTGGGGGTACTGGGCTGCGGCCTACCACTGCTGCTCACCCTAGCAGCCTATGGCGCCCTTGGACGAGCTGTGCTACGGAGCCATGGCATGACAGCTGCCGAGAAGCAGCACGTGGCAGTGCTGGTGGCCAGTGGGGTGGCGCTCTACGCTAGCTCCTATGTGCCCTATTACATCACACGGGTAATCAACATTTTCGCTCGGCAGCGCTGGAGAGCCCGCTGTTCAACCTTTGTAGACACCGCTCAGGCTGTGGAGGCATTAGACCTGGGGTCCTATGTGGGCCACCAGGTGGCACGGGGTCTCGTGCCTCTGGCCATCTGCATCCACCCACTGCTCTACATGGCTGTAGTACCCAGTGTGGGCTGCTGTCTTGGCTGCAGGGAGGGCCAGGCCCCAGAGAATGCTGAGAGCTTCAGCCAAGGCCTGCCCCTCAACGTCACAGCCACTAAAACCTCAGGGCCCCGGTATCCTGAGCTGAGCACATGACCTGGCCTACCTTAAGCCTCCGACCACTGGGCACTGTGACCCAGCAGCAGAATGGGACCGAGAACACAGCAGGCCCCAAACCACCTCCCCAAAGGAAGGCCTATGCAACGGGAGCAGTGAGCACCCAGGCCAGAGACCAAGGACTTCTCCCCACAGCACCAACCTCGAGCAGGGCTGCAGAGCAAACCCATACAGGGGGAGGGCTGACCCCACCTGCCACAAAGTGGGTCACATTCACATATAAACGATGCACAAGGGGTGATTAAAGCCTTTTTATTGTCCTCGGAGTCCTCTGCTTTCTGAGGCCGCCTTCGGTTGCTGCAGGGCCCTAAGGCCAGGGGCGCGGCAGCGGCACCGGCAGCGGAGCCAGCTGGCTTAGTTGGTGGATGGCCTAGAGAGGGAGACAAGAGCCATGAGGGCGAGTATGGGGGCTTCAGGACCCAAAGGGAATCCCGAGATGCACCTCCCGCCACGCGCACAACTGGGGCCTCCATGGGGGTGGGGCACGGGGGAGGATACGCACAGAGCCAGGCCAGCAGTGACCAGCCTGGCCCTGGACGGCAGTGGCTCCTCCTTGAGACCAAAAGGACAATAAATGACCTGCACCTTAGAACAGGCCTGGTGATTATTCAACTGGTATGGGGCCGCCGTCAGCCCCAAGCATCAGCCATGACACAGTGAGGGGGCAGGGGAGGGGTCTTACTTGGCCCATTCGACGTTGAGAATGAGGTGGTCATAGCCGAAGCCGGACACCCCAGCAATGGCACGGGCAGCATCCTCTCGCCGATGGAAGCTGATGAAGGCAAAACCCTGGGGAAGGGGAGGAAGGGGGTGTTCAGGGCACAGCCAGACAGATAACCCCTCCCTGACCGTGGTCACCACGCCCACCTTGGACTGCCCAGTGGTTTTATCCTTTGCCAAGTAGATGCGGGAGATGGAGCCAAAAGGCCTAAAGAGCTCTTGGAGGTCTGTCTCACGGGTGTCCTCTGACAGGTTGGTGACACGGATGGTGGCATTGTCATCGGCTGCGCACCAGGCAAAGAGAAACAAGTGTGAGGGGCTGGGCCAGCTTGGGCCCTACCCACAGGATAATCACTGAGTGCTGGGAGGTGCTTGCCCACAGGCCAGCATCAGGGTGCCCTCACTGCCTCACCTCTGCGGTTGGGCTGCATGGACTCCCCACGCCGGCTGGCCCCGTCCCGCAAGCTTGGTGGCACGTACTTCCCCGTCTTGTTCTGGGCTGCCTGCACAGGCTCCAGCTCTGGAGACCAAAAGTAGTCGCATCAGGCCTCACCCTAGCACAGCAGAAGGACAGAGCAACCCAGGAAGGACACTGGCGGTTCCAACGCTGACCCAGCCCAGGTACCATCTGTCCAAGCCACATGTATCCAGTTGGTCCCTCAGAGACCTGGTGGCCATGATGACACATCCAGGAAGCTAGCACTATACAGAGCAAGAAGCCAGGGGTGTTCATACAGTCTGAGGTGCCCACAGGGCTGAGAGCTAGAGGAATATTCTGCCTAGCCAACACAGAGGAACACAAGCATGTGGGCAGGGACAGTCCCCAGGTCCCACACACATGGCAGTTAACAAGTGGGCCACACACAAGTTTAGAGTTGAGCAAAGTCAGATTGAGAGTTGTGTGAACTCGCACTCACCAGCAGCATGTAACACTGAAGGACGCGGACTGTGGACAGTCACTTGTGTGAGTCTACTTAGAGGTGTGCGTGTGCATGCACAGAAACACAGGGCAGTAGCCGTGTCCATGCAGACACAGCACACTCATGTCAAGGCCATCACAAAATCAACAGCAGAATCACCAGGGGCGAGTCTCTCATACAGGGGTCCACCATCTCCCAACCATGCACCGTGTGGTTCACACACAGGCATGCACATGAGCAGTTCTCACAATCCCCAAGAAGAAGGGGCAGGTGACATCACCAGCAGTCACAGCACCCACCTGGCCAGTCAGTGCCTCTCTCTCTCTCTCACACACACACACACACACACGCGCGCGCGCGCAGACGGTGGCCACGGCCTTCGCAGCGCACAAGATGAGAACTGCGACGGGGCTAGCCCATCCACACAAAGCAGGTGACAACCTCGAACTCTCAGTGGCACAGTCCCTTTCCATGACCTGCCAGCCACACCCCCAGGCTCCAGCACCTCCAGGCAGTTTCTCCTTCTCGCCGGTAGACAGGCCCAGCTGCTCAGCTAGCTCCTTCTGCATGGGCCCCAGCGTGTCCTTGTAGGGGCAGCGTGTGGTCCAGTGGTCACCCTTGCAGATGCGGCAGGACACGATCTTCTGCCCCTTGAGCTTGTTCATGGGGTCCTCCTCCTCCTGGCAGTTCAGATCCTGGCAGGGCAGGTGGAAGCAGCTCAAAGGGGGGCTGCCACACCCCATCACCCTGGCCATCACCCCTCTGCCCTATTGCCACACTGACCTCCTTGCTGGTGATAAAAGTCATGGACACATCATCACTGACTGTGGTGGTGGCCACATTGGGCCCTGGCGGGTCAAACTCTGAGTTCCCAAACTTCTTCCAGTTCTGGGCTCAGGGGAGAGTGAGAAACAGGTCGGGAAGAGTGGGATACAGGGCAGGTAAACTCTCCGCTCTGTACCCTAGACCCACACTAGCCCCTTTCAGGATGTCCTGGCCTTAAATCCCATTCTCCACCCTCTCCAAATGCCCCCCCAACAGCAGTAACGACAGCTCCTGTTTCCTGAGTACGCACCAGGCCCGCACATCGTGCCAGCTCCAAGAGGCCGGGGCAGCCCTCAGCCCCATGTTCTGGATGAGAGAGCGGAGGCTCAGGGGAAGCAGCTGTACGGCCAACAAGACCCGCTTCCACCAGCAAGCACCGCTCAGGAGTGTGCAAGGGGGTGACCCCGAGGGGCCTTGGGCTAAACCACCTGAGCCTCAGCTTCCTCCTCTCGAAGGTGGGGACCACAAATGCTCCCCATCCACCTCCCTGTGTTGTTATGGGGATCAAATGAGAAAATGCCTACAAAGCATATGGCGTGGCATCTGGCAAAAAGTATGCAGATAACTGTGCCAAGTCTACTTATTGCTATTGCTGCTTCTGCTATGACCACCTCATGGGAGCGCCTGGCTCTGTTCCTCCTGGTAGACAAGCCAAGAAGAGTAAGAAACCACCTCATCCCCTCTGGCACCCTGGACTTTCTGGGACCCCAACAGAGTGTAAACACCCTCGGTTCTCCTCCAACAAAGTAGGTAAACCAGTTAAACCCCGCTTCTAAAAATAAAGGCACTGGGAAAAAGAATTCTTAATTCTTCAGCCCTCGGGAACCCTCTCCCAAAACAAGGGGAGCAGGGTCTCACCTTCCTCCTTGCAACAGCCTTTGAGGCCTTCCGGGTCTCAATCCTGAAGGTGCGGACAATCTGTAGATGGGAGAGAAGAGGACAGGTTTGGATTTCCTGTCCCTCAAGGCTACTGGGCCCACGGGATCTTCCTCACCAACCCACCCAACACATACCACTCCCCCCGCCCCCCCCAGCCCAACTGCCCCCACCTCCTCACCCAGCCTCACCTTGAACTTCTTGCCATCCTCATCTATCTTATACTCGGTCACTGTCTTGATGTTTCCATTGATGACCTCCTTAGGAGGTGGAAGTGGAGCTGGGAGAGGGGAAGAGATCTGAACCACGTGTAATGGGGACAGAGGGGAATATGGCTAGGAAGAGAGGTGGCCCAGGGATGGAGTGGAGGTTGTCACTCACCTCCTGGCAGTAGCTCAGGCTCTGGGCTGGTGTCGCCAGTGGCCAAAGGGATCCCTTTGAGGAGTTCGCTGGTGACACATTTGTCTGTCAGAAGGAGTGTGGGGAGACGGGTGAGGTGGAGGGGCAGGAGTTCCTAAGCTGAAATGAAGGGACCTTTGGGATGATGCTGTGCCAGGAACTGACAAAAGCAGGACCAAGGCTAGAGGACTGGCCAGGAAGTGCCCTGGGAGAGCCGTGAGGGGACACCCGAAGTGCTGTAATAACCTCGAGCAATGGCAAGGATAGGGGTGGCTTGGCATGAAGGCAGGTGTAGGCCACCAAGGCATCCGGGCGCTGGCACAAAGGCAGGAGGTAGACTGTTAAAAGGTCATCCCCGGAGTAGGGGAGAGGCTGTGAGAACTTGGGCAGAGGCTTGGGAAAGAGGGGCTGACTAGTGAACATCTGGAATTGGCGACAGCCTGGCCCAGATGAGGATGGCGCCTGGCAGAGGCTGGCCGTGGGGGGCAATGCGGGGTCGGACCGCGGTTCAAAGGTGGGGGACTGGAGCAGGAGGCAGTGTCAGAGCTGGGGGCTGGCCGCGGTGACCCGGGGCGACGGGGCGTACTCACCATCCTCTCCCTCCTCCTCAACCTGGTCGGCCCAGCTGGGCTTCGAACTGAGATAGGTTTGTGGGGGGAAAGCGTTGAGTCAGCGATACCCTGCTCCCGCAGCCTTGGCGCACCCAGACCCAGAATTCTCCCCAGGACGCCCCCAAACCGCCTCCAGAGCCCCTCTCCCAAGCCCTCGACTTACTCAAAGTCTCCAGTGGGCATTGCAAAACCTTCTCCACGCAGCCGGAGCCCAGCCAGAGACCGGAAGTAAGGGGATATCGAGACTTCCGGTTCCGTGGCCTACACCAGCCCCATCCGGCGCCCACAGCGCCGCCTGCAGTCGGAGAGGCCCACTGTGTAAGTGGCTGGGCTCTGGTATTGCAAAGGTGCATCCCAGTACCCTAAAAAAAATTTTTTCACCCCACACAAGAAAAACACTAAAGAAATTTATCACCACCAAACCAGTATTACAAAAAGTGTTAAAGGGACTTCTTTAGGAAGAAGAAGAAAAAAAATTTAAAAAATATGAATAATAAAATGACAATAGCCCTGGCTGGTGTGTCTCAGTGAATTGAGTGCCAGCCTGCAAACCAAAGGGTCATCAGTTCGATTTCCAGTCTAGGTCACATGCCTGGGTTGTGGGCCAGGTCTGCACTTGGGGGAGCATGAAATGCAACCACATATTGATGTTTTTAAATGGTAATAACCACCCTGTCTGGTGTGGCTGGGCATGCAAAAGATTGCATGCAGTTAGGTCAGGGCACATGCCTGGGTTGCAGGGCAGGTCCTCGGTTGGGGGTGTGTGAGATGCAACCACACATTGACGTTTCTCTCCTTTTCTTTCTCCCTTCCTTCCCCTCTCTATAAATGAATGAATGAATGAATGAATGAATGAATGAATGAATGATAGATAAATAGATAAATAAATCCATACTTGGGTGAGGATTA